AAATTCACATCCGTGTCAGTAACCTGTTCCTTACACTCCTTGTAAGTCTTCCACTGGTGCTCCCCTTTCACAACATGCATACGCTTGATGTGTTCAGGGAGTCCCTTAAAGAACTGGTGGATGACCTCGCTCTCAGGGAGAGCGGTTTTCAGCAGAGAAAGGGTCTTCTCAAACTCCTCTGCATACTCGCGCACAGGCCGGTCGTCGCACTGGATTTTCTCCAGGTGACTACGCACCTCGAGTGCAGGGGGCTGAATGAGGAAAGCTTGCAGCATTGCAGCTTTGAACTCCTCCCAGCCAAAAGGCTGGCCATTAGCTTCAGCTTGATGCTTGCTAGCATAGACAAGCTTGCTAGCAGTATCATCCAAGGCAAGAGTCGCAGCCAGCACGCGAGCCGCGCTACCCACATTGTGGAGGAACAGAAAATCCGCCACAATGGAAAGCCACGTCTCAACGTCGGTCTTGCCATGGATAAAGCGAGACAAGAACGTAGGCAGGGAGCCAAAAGCAGTAGCGGCTGCAGGAGGAGGGTGTTGGGCGCGCTTTGCAGCAGGAGCAGCAGATGGAGCTGGGTTGCTAGTAGATGTAGCAGCGCGAGTAGGTGCAGCAGCAGGATGGTAGATGTTGGCACGCCGAAGCTCCCTGTACTGAGACTGCAACTGAGTGAGTTGGGTCTACTGCTGGTTGAGCTGGGCATGCACGTGCTTGATGGTGTCCTGCAAGTCCAAGATAAAGCGGGAGGTGCTGGTGAGCTTATCCTTTGTAGCCAACAACAACCCCGCCTGAAGCTCATGGATAAGAGTCTTCATCTATAAAATATCGGTCTCCAGGCCTTGGATGCGACACTGCTGCGCCACAATGGTGATGTTCTGCTCAGTGAGTTGAGTCTGGAACTTGGCAGCAAGACTCTCATTGAAGACACCTTCAGCAACATCAGATTCGTCTTCTTCCTCAGCATCTTCAGCATTTTCAGCACCAGCACCAATATCTGCTTCACTTCCATTAACCTCCAGGTCAACCATGAGATCCTCCTGGTTGAGATCGATTTCAGCAGCAGCATTGTCCCCCTCATTGCCTGAAACAGGCATGTTTCCCTGAGAGACATCCATCTCTTGGTTGGAAGCCATGAAATGGGTTAAGGAAACAAGGTTACTCAACAGATCTGACAGTTATCTTCAAGAAATTTTGATTACTCTTTACAGAATAATCCAAGACAAAATTTCCAGAGAATGAATTTGTTGCAAAATCTCCCTATCACATCAATGATAGAGCAAGATCTACTCAATGAAGAGTAGATCCTCAACAAATCCTTAGATCTGAAAAGACACTCTCTACCCAAAGGTAAGAAGAGTCTTCCACCAAACAGTGGGCAAGAGAGATAAATCTCTCTTCGAAATGTCTTCAATGTGGAAGGAGGTCCTTCAATGTTGGTGAAGAAGCTTGAAGGTCTTGATGGAGAGACTTCAAGATCTTGATGAAGAGTCTTCAAGAGTTGGTGAAGATACTTGAAGATTTTGATGGAGAATCTTCAAAATCTTGATGAAGAGTCTTCAAAAAGTCTTCCAAATTCTTGAGATGTTAGAAGCTTTGATGGAGCTTGAATAAGTTTTCAATGTCTTGAGGATTTCTTCAAGTCTTCAAGGAGCCTCTAGATCTATAATCTAGGATCCTCTAAAAAAAAATAAGGCAAGCAAAAATGGCCACACAAGGCCAAGATCAACCTTTGCTCTAGATACCAATGTAACAACCAAGGCTATTATAGTAGGGATTACAAGCAAGGAGTGCTCTCCAATCTCAAAATCACCCTAGCTTATCCCTAGACTAGCCTTGAGGTTGTTGGTGAACTTTTCAAAAGAGGGGCTTGAATGAAGAAGTCCTTGAGAGAGTTGTGTAGGGGAAGCTGTGAGGAGAGCTCAAAGACTTAGAGAAAATCCCATTTCCAAATTGGGTTGTTGGATTTGGGAAATGGAGAATGAGCTTGGGAAAGCTCAACCCCTCCCTAGACCCCTTGGGGAGCTCCAACTCCTCCATGGCAACAAGGTGGAGGAGCTCCTAGAGTTGAGTTGCTTAGGTGGCATTTTAGGTTGGGTTGCTACCCATTTGAGAGCAAGTGTGTGGAAGAAAATGTTGGATTGAGTTGGTTGTAACACCAACTGTCAATCTGTGGTTGGGTGCAAATCCAGCCATTGGTTGGCAATGTGTAGGCTTGGGAATTCCCAAACCTCAACATAAAGGGTTGGAATTTCCAAACCACATTTGCCTTGGGTTGAGTGGTTAACCACATTTGTACACCCAACCCATCCTTCCCTAGCACAACTTCTCATGCTTGCGACCTAGCACAGGTCACGCTATGGCGCCCTAGCTAGGTCGCGCCAATTGCGCTAGGTAGGTTTAGTATGCGTTACAGATGGGGCCTTTGTCGCGACACCATTCCGCCAGCTTCTTTCCTTGGCGCACATCCATCTATGCGGCGCGTTGTGTATCCGCCCTCACCGGCGTTTTTCCCTTGGCCATTCCGCCTCGCATGCCTCGCATAAACTCATCGCCGCTCCTCGCATCTCCTGTCCTAGCCCACTGTAGATGCGTATTTGGAACCCATTGCTTCCAGTGTCACCGTCGGCAAAGCATTTCCTCGCCGCATCGCCTAACCTATAAACCACCGTCGGCGCGGTCGCCAACTTTCAGTCTTGCCACGCCACGTGTTTCGCGCACGTTCTCTCCTCTCCTCTCTCACTCTTAGCTCCTCTCCTCTCTCACTCTTAGCTACGTACGCCCCACATCGTCGACTCTGTGGCTCTTCTTCTAAGATAGGTCTGTGTTTAGTGGCTGGTGCGGCGATTGATGTTGACTCTATGGTTAGGCTAGTCCCATATTTCCACTACTAGCTGTCCCCAACCACCTCGAGTTGCTCTGGGGCTTTGTGGGGCAGCTCTCGTGCCCTGAGCCTTTGGCAGGTGGGTTGTGTTTGCGAAACCACAGCAGGCTGGGTTGGTGGAATATTGTGGGGAGGGTGTTGTGGCTTGGGTTACCAATCCGAACCTACATCAAACTGCCCCCAGTTTGATGGGTGGAGCCAATTTAACTTTTCTAATCTGGGACCTGGGCTTTAACCAACCACACGTTTTTACGAAAGCGAAAAAAGACCCCCTTGAGAAAATCATTTTCCAAATGTGCAATTGTTAATGGTGATTGAGGCAACGAGGGTCGTGTTTTCGTATTCGGGACGGACCTGTTCGTGTCACGCGGGATGTCGTGAAGGTAGGATAGTTAGGACGCCATGACTATGGCGGCGAGGTTTAGCTAGGAGGTAGACGAGAATGTCGAGAGAGGAGAGAATTTGAACTAGAAGAGAATCATGTACAAGAAGGGGAGTTATCCCCTCTACAGTAGGATGCAGTAGCACAACTATCAACCCTACAATTATATAAAATATAATTTGAACACACCCCCTAGGCTTGGTAGTGGCAAGCCCACTCAACCCACACACACACCCCCTAACCCCAGACACCCTCATTCTCATGAGCAGCCGGGTATCGACCCCTCGTGCTAGGCGATGACACCCCCGGACGAGAGGCAGCTGGCCGCATCTGGGCGGCCTCAATGACGACAGCGGCGGAGCTCGTGCTCAAGGCGGCTGCGTCGAGGAGGACAGGCGGCGGCTGAGGGCTCTCGGCGTTGTGTCACGGGCTGGCGGCGACCGAGCCGAAGACAGCAGCTGCGGCAGGAGGAAGAGGAGATGCAAGGAAAAGGGGTGGGGCGGGGAGGAGGGGCGAATGGCGACGTGTGGGCGGCGGCAGCGTCACCGGCGTCGCACGGTCGGCTGCAGCCCGACGGCACCGTCCAAGAGCGGCCTCGACGCTGCATCGGGACGTCGACGCCGCGACGTCAGCACGACGGCGCCGTCATGCCGCCACGGCCTGACGTTGACGGCGTCGCCACGGCTGCGTGCTGCGACGGCCGCACCAGGTGATACGTGACGGCAACAGGCCAACGACACAGCCGCGGCACCACGACGACGCCACCACAGCGTGGCGTCGATGCCGCGGCTGCTCGTCGATGCTGGGACGACACCATACAAAGGCCGCCACGACATCTTGGAAAAGATGCCACGGCGGCAGGCAGCAGGAAGGTCGCGACGACGGCAAACATGGAAGTACGCAGCGGAAGCGTAATGAGCAGGTCCGGGACAGGCGGCCTGCTCTGTTACCATGTCGTGAAGGTAGGATAGCTAGGACGCCATGACTATGGCGGCGAGGTTTAGCTAGGAGGTAGACGAGAATGTCGAGAGAGGAGAGAATTTGAACTAGAAGAGAATCAGGTACAAGAAGGGGAGTTATCCCTTCTACAGTAGGATGCAGTAGCACAACTATCAAGCCTACAATTATATAAAATATAATTTGAATACGAGAAGCCTGAATATTTATGTGATTGGTTCTATAAAATGGAAAACGCCTCGAATGCTCTTGACATGAGGATTAGAATAGGTCCGTAATCGTAAGACAGAATGGATGAAAATGTTTGCACAGTACACGTGCCTGCGTACAGCTTGCTGATTTTCCAACTGGCGATATTTTATTGGCCGTTGGGTCGCCATCTGGATTGCAACCCCAGTTTATTGCGACTGAGTGACATCCATAGCGGTATTGGATTTCGCGAAAATAATCTGCGACTTTCGTCCAGCCACTCTCAAATCGCAAGGAGCCTCGTCAGAAATTTCATTGGCAGATGGGGCATTTTGCGACGTTGACCGCACGCACTACAGTAGTTGTACTTCGTACGATCGGAGTATAGCGTGTTGGATCCTACCGAATTATGGACGTTAGGATAGTATCTGGACAAAAATGTCAAAGATCTTATGGCATATCCGCTGTACGGTTTCTCACTTGTGCAATTCCTTTAAAGCCAGCATTTGCAGCTCTATGACAACTTGGAAAGCTTGAGAGGTATCCACTAGAGCCAGTGCATTTAGCTCAGACACTACATCCAGAGGGATAGTTGTGATCATGATTGGGCGCATCGAGATGGACAAAAAATGAAGATATCAGCAAAGCATACATACAAGAGATCAAGTTCACACAAGCAACGGGTTGAATGATTACATAATGTACTTTGTCTGGTATCTTTTGCCTGCTACTGTTATAGTTGAAGATGCTGTCTGGAATGGGTTAGTATCCATGGGTGCCCTGGAAAAAAATCATAACGGAATAATATGGGGGTGCAGGGGGTAGAAAAGCTACATTGGTCAGATGGGTTTTGAAAACCATCTTCACAACTCACTGGGTGTGTAGGTACGTGAGTACGTGCTTGTGCGTGCATGTATGGTGAAACTTTGCACAAGGACGGAGGGAGGGAGCGCGTAAGGCAGAGATGGAGAGTGGGCACGAGAACATGGGAAGGGCGAGGGTGCAAGACAAAGGGTGGGGGAGAGTGAGGGAAAGAGGGGGAAGGGGGGATGACATAGCTCACCAAGAACATCAACAGCAGACAGGCGCTTCTCCGGATCCTTCTCAAGCATGCCCTTCAGCAGATCCTTCGCCCCCGAACCGACTTTCTTCCACCGCGCAGATTTAAACTTCACCGGGTTGCCCTTGATCGCGTCGAAAATCTCCTCGTTGGTGTCGGCAAAGAAAGGCGGCGCCCCGCAGAGCAGCGTGTAGAGCACCACCCCTGCGCTCCAGATGTCGGCCTCAGGCCCGTAGGAGCCTGCAAGGACCTCTGGGGCGATGTAGTAGGGCGTGCCGACAAACTCAGTGAGAGGCGAGCCTGTGGGGGGCACAGGGAAAGCACACAGAGAACGCATACAGGGAATAACATGAGCATTGTGTAGAGCGCACCACTCCCGCACTCCAGATGTCGGCCTCGGGCCAAGAGGAGCCTGCGAGGACCTCTGGTGCGATGTGGTAGGCGTGCCGACAAACTCAGTGGGGGGTGTGCCTGTGGGAGCACAGGGAAAGGGTGCGCGAGGCAACGGACGAGCCACAGTTTTGAGGCAGAAAATGGAGCACACGGGAAGGAAAAAGAGAGACAGAACTCAGGCAGGCATGTGAGTTGAAATGTTCCTGCAGAAAAGACACATAAAAAAAAGGGGATCACCTGGGGGAAAACAATGCGTACCTGCACATACCATTTTGGAAGCGTGCAGCAACGCCAAATTCAATCAGCTTCACGAACATGTCATCCTCCTGGTCCATGAGCAAAATGTTCTCCGGCTTCACGTCGCAGTGCACGATGCCCTGCGAGCAGTGCCCTGGGAATGGCACTAATACCTCTTGCACAAGTTGCACTAAACTAACATACCCGTTTTGGAAGCGTGCAGCGACACCAAAGTCTATCAGCTTCACACACATGTCATCCTCGGGGTCCATGAGCAGAATGTTTTCCGGCTTCACGTCCCGGTGCACGATCCCCTGCGAGTGACACTAACACCTCAACATCCCGGTGCACAAGCCTAACGTACCATTCTGGAATCTCGCAGCAACGCCAAAGTCTATGAGCTTCACACACGTGTCGTCCTCGCGGTCCATGACCAGAATGTTCTCCGGCTTCACGTCGCGGTGCACGATGCCCTGCGAGTGGCAGTACAGCAGCGCCTCCACCACCCGCACCATCACCACCGCCGCCTCGCCCTCCGAGAACCCCACTCTCCGCTCCGCGCCCCTGTCTCTGCCCCACGCCTTCCCCACGTCCCCCCACCGCGCCTTTTCCCGGCTCCAGCGCTGCTTGATGCGGTCGAAGAGGTCACCGCCCTTGGCGAGCTCCATGACGATGTGGATGTGCCTCGAGTCCTCCACCGCTTCCTCGATTTCTATGATGCTCGGATGGCCCTTCACCTGCTGCAGCATTGACACCTCTTTTCGCACGTCCTCTGCGTCCTCGGCCGACTGTGCGTGGGGGGAGGGAAGAGAGGAATAGGGTAGCAAGCAGAGGGGAACAGGGGAATCAGGAAGAGCAGCGTTGTCTTTCACCTGCTGCAGCATTGAAACCTCCTTGCGCTCGTCTTCCGCGTCCTCTGCTGACTGAAGGAAGGGAAGAGGAAAGAGGTGAAGGGGAATCGGGACGTTCACCTGCTGCAGCATTGACACCTCCTTGCGCTCGTCTTCCACGTCCTCTGCTCACCTCGATTCGCTGCTTGCTGATGCTCTTGCACGCCAGCAGCGCCCCCCCCCGCACGGCTCACAATGAGTTGAATCACACCAAACTGCCCCACCCCCAGCTCCTCCTCCCCTGCTCCCCACCTCATACCTCATACACCAGGATGCGTAAGCAGGAGAGAAACCAACCACGCACCTCGATTCGCTGCTTGCTGATGGTCTTGCAAGCCAGCAGCAGCCCCGTCGCACGGCTCACGCACAACCGGATGACCCCGAACTGCCCCACCCCGAGCTCCTCCTCCCCCACCTCGTACACCAGCGCCAGCTCCCTGTACGGGCGGCGCAGCACGTAAGCTGTGGGCCCGGCGCCCCCACCCTCCGCCCACGAGGAGATGCGGCGGTGCGTACGCGGGCTGGGGGCGGGGCGGAATGCGTCCCCCCGGGGTGCCTCAAGCTGGGTGGAGGGGCTGGGGGCCGGGCGGAGGGCATTCTGCGGTGCGTTCTGAGGTGAATTTCCGGGTGCGTTTTGAGGTGCGTCCAGGTGGGAAAGGGGGGTTGGGGAAGGGCGGTGGAGGGTTGGGGGAGGGGGGAGGGGGAGGGGCTTGGGGCTCTCATGATAGTGTGGGGGATGTGTGGGCTTGGCGGCATTGGTAGTGCTGGTGGTGGTATTGGCGGTGGTGGTGCTGCTGCTTGTGGTGCTCCTGGTAGTGCTGGTATTGGTGCTGGTGCTGCTGGTGCTGCTGATGCTGGTGCGGATGTTGCCGCTGCCACTGCTGGTGCTCCTGGTGCTGGTGGTGCTGGCAGGGTTGTGTGAGGAGCCCGTGAGCGCAGCGTCTGCGTCTGGGGAATCTCCAGGCACCTGAATATTCACCTGAAGATTCACCTGAGGAATCCCCTGCCTCCTCGCCTCTCCCTTCACATTGATTGGCTGGACCTTCTCACACACATAAGCATCACTGTCCTCCCCTCCCTCACAAACAATCACAGCCACTCCCTGCTCTCTCGTCGCACCAAACTCACCACCCCTCTCCACCGCCCTCTCTGCTCCCCCTTCTGCCGCCTCCCCAAAAGTCACCCAAGCCTGACTCTCAAACCTCCCCTCCCCCTCCCCCTCCTCCTCCCTCTCCGCCTTTTCGTCTCTTTCCGTCCCCCTCTCCTCCCACCCCACACCATCATAACCATCAGCACCATCCTTATCAGAATAATCTTCATAATCCATATCAACCTTTCTTCTTGGGGTTGTCAGGGTGTAGATATTCAAATCCATGCTGCCAGTTCGCCGAACCCCGCCCTTCAGGTTCGTGTTCCCGAGCCTCCCTTTCTGCAGGCTCGGGCTTCCGCCTCGCCCCTCCAGTTCCCCCACGGGCGCCTCGAAATCCCTCAATCTCTCCAGCCGCGAGCCGCGCATTTCTTTCAGCGCTTCGTGCGGGCTCTGCTTCCACGCGCCCCTCCCCCCTCCCTGCTCCCCCCCATCCCTCCTCTTTTCCTTCTCACCCCTCCCCCCTTCCCCCCTCCCCCCTTCTCCCCTCCTTCCTTCCCTCCTCTCCCCATCTCCCGCGACTTGCTTTTCCTTTCGCGGCACGTCCACCTGCCCGGCTTCCTCCACTTTCTCCTCCCCTCCGTCGGATTTCAGCACCACCTCACCCTGCCCCAAAATTTCCAGCACTGCCCGTCTCCTCCTCCCATCTGCCCCAACCACCGTAACAACCAGAGCCATTTTCCCCGCGTCGTCGTCCTCCCCCTCCCCTTCCTGATCCGATCTGATTCGATCTGATTTCGTCTTCTCTGCTCCGGCGCGCACGAGCCGTCTCGCAGCGTCGCCAGAAACCTGGGACTGGACCTGGGGCGGGCTGTTCTTATAACGAAGGTCGTGCTGCCGCTGCTGCTGCTTCCAGTGCTGCTGCAGGCTCATCCGCTGCTGCTGCTGCGGCAGCGGCGGCGGCGGCGGCGGCGGAGGGTTCGCCAGCTCGCGTTCATGTAGCGGAGGGTGTTCTCGTAACGCGTGTGCTTGTAACGAGCGCTCCACTGTAGCCCGTTCCACTGTGGGCTTTTCCATGAGCTGGTACCCGCAGCTGGGGCAGAATCGGAAGTGTGGACACAGCAGGGCGCGCAGATCCAGAAGCTTCGCCGCACTTTCCTGGTCGCAACGGCTACCACCACCACTGCGCCCTTTGCCGTAGCTGCTGGCGTCGCTGCCGCCGCCATACCCGCCGCGATCAGCGCGACGCTGCCCAGCGTAGCGTGAATCGCGGGACGCCGCGCTCGCGGGTCTGCTGCTAATCGCCGCGACCAGGCCTTCGCCGCCGCGGGAAGCGCGGCGGTCGGAGCTCGCGTGAGACGCGGTGCTAGTAGAGCTCGGCGCGCCAATCGAAGCGCGACTAGGAGGCGACTCGAAGTGGTACGCGCCAGGCGCGTTGGACCCCCTGTTGGTCAGCGGAAGGTCCGAGGCGCCTGGAGAGTTGCCGCGACTCGCGATCGTGGATGACGTGTCGTCGCCGAGGGACACGTCGGACATGCTCTGGCACGTGTCGTCGTAATCGTTGCCATCCTTGCCATCATTTCCGTCGTTAGTAGGCGCGCCGCGAGCAGCAGGCGAGTCGCAATAGTCGGTGGGAGAGGACACGCGCTGAGAGGAGGGTCTCTCTCTTGTGTCGAGGGGTGATAAGGGGACGCCAGGAGAGCTCCACGTGGACTGATCGTCCACGTTGGAGGGTGCCACGTTGGACGTTGTCACGTTGGTCGGCGCCACGTTAGAAGATGCCACGTTAGTAGACGGTGCGTTATAAGCAACCCCTTCAGTAGTAACACGGACGTTCGCGGCCAGATGACATGCTTGGGCGGCAGTAGGACCAACACTCGCTGGGACGACGGTACCCGCGCCTGCTTGGGCGGCGGCACCCGCGCCGCTGCTGATGCCCAGCCGATCCAGGTCCAACGACGGCGGCCTGCGCCTCTTAAACAGCGGCGCCGGCGGCAGCGGTGGCGGGGGTGGCGGAAGCGGCGGCGGCGGCGGCGGCAAGCCGCGAGCCGGGCTACCAGCCGCGCCGCTACTAGCGGCCACGCGGGCGGCAGGCCTGGCGGCGAGTGACGAAGGCGGGGAAGGGTCCCTGGGGAGGCGATTAATCAGCTGTTCCGGTGCACAGTCCCGAGTCTGCAGCGCCAACCCACCGACCACCTGCTTGGCAGACGACATTAATCGGCTCGGGATCAGCCGGCGACTGTTTGGCGGCGCCACCAGTCCTCTCGCGCTCCCATCCTCTCCCCCCCCCGTCGACGCCGCGGCTGCCGAAGCTGCAATTGGCGGTGCCGCGGCCGCCGCGGCTGCCGCGGCTCCTCCTGACGCCGCCACGTGGCCCGGGGATGCCGGCGCTGACGGCGGCCGCGAGCGGCTCTTGAACTCCCCGCGCGTCATATCCACCTCTGGCGGCGCGGCCGTCCTCTCGGAAGCTGCCACGTGGCGCGCCGCCACTGGGGATTGATCCGCGGCGTAACTCCCGGCGGCAGCTGCGGCGGCGACTGCGGTCATCACGGTCAAATCCCAGCTCCCGAATCGGCGCCGTCTCCCGCCTCTCTCCGCTGCCTCCGCCACCGCACCCGCCGGCCCCCCGGACCCCGCGGACCCCGCCGCCCGCGCCGTTCCCCCTTCCCCCTTGCCCCCTTGTGCGGCGGCGCGCGCCCCCTGCGCGGCGCTCTCCGCCTGCTGCGGAAGCGGCGGGCGGTGCTGATTGGTCGGGTCGGCGGCATCCCAGCTATGGCGGCGATTGCGAGAGCCGGCAGCAGCGGGAATAGAAGGGTTCGTTAGGTAAGCAGGAGGGAAAGGGTTGGTTAGTTGGGCGGCAGATGGAGGCGAAGTTAGGTCAGGAGGAGGAACAGGAGCAGTCGGGTGAGAGGCGGCCATGGCGGGATAAGCTAAGGCTTCGATTGGCGTTACTGAACCAGAGCACATCGTAGGAACATGCCAGGCGGGCTTTAAGCGGCTCCTAAAGCTTCTTGGAAAAAAAAACAGACTGGCAGCAGTGGTTACGGACTTAACCTCAGGTTCGCTGGTCCTAGCAGACAGAATACGAGTTTAGTCAATTAGAACTATGAGTACGAATTAAGAACTTATCATCGCGAAGTATAAGCAGTCGCTTTCAAGACCCTTCAGCAGTCGGGTATCGGTACTCGCGAAAAGAACCCCTCTGCCGGAAACTGGAAAACCGACTCGAGCGGGATAAGAACCCTTCGTGCTGTAGTGGTAGTAAGCGTGGGGCAACGCGATCCTCCGTCTTTCGACTTGCTGCTCGCGCTACGCAAGAGGATCAACAACCATACGCCGCCTCGTGCCTATCCGAACGGCCTTCCGGGTTCCGATATTTAGGGATTTCGTGCGCTGTCCCGCCACGCGGCTGATGAGGCTGCAGTAGCGGCAGATGCTACACCATAAGTCTCGAGACGCGAATAACGAGGCTGGCGAGGTGAACGCGGCTCGAAAGACGCTTCTACACCACAAGTCTTGAGTCGCGCCACCAAGTATCCTCAGGCGGACCGACGAAAAAATCTCCTAAGATTCGCTGCGCGTGACGCGTGAGGCCGGGCGAGCTCGCTCGTACAGATTGTGACGGTCGAAGGCGTTAGGACGAATCGCGTCGGCACGACACGTCAGCAGCAGTAGTACGCCGACATCTTCGAGAACGACTACTAGTTGGTGTTGATGCCACTTCGGTGCCTGCCTGCGGTCTGAGCAGTGCAGCGAGCCGGTGCTGGATATAATGCAAACTGTAGTCTGCACGTGGCTTGGTCCAAAGCGTTAGGCCGTAATCACCGCGACACTAGGAAGCCATGTCCGTTAGCAGAGCTGGCCTGAAATACACTGGCCTCTTCACGCGCGTGCAAGCAGTCCCAATTTGGTTCTAGCTCCGAAAAAGCCTGGCGGAGCGATCTAAATATATATACCGTCCGTGGTTGGATACCGTGACTCGCGAGCCTAATGGCCAATGGTCAATGGGTCTTCGGTCCGGCTGGCGACGCAAATGATTCCACCGACGAGCGACGTAGGTGTTTAATCGAGCGGGGCGGGGGGGAACCTCTCCTACCCCGAACGGCCGCCAGCGACTCATATGACGTGGAGCGGGGGGTAGGGGAGCGCAGCTCGGATGATGACGTGGACGCGGCGCAACCGGCGCGAGGGGAGCACCAGGCGCGCGGAGCTGGCGGGAGGGGCTGGCGAGAGTGGAACCAACCGGTGCTCTCCGCCCGGGCCGGTTGGGTAGTTTGCGAAGCGTCGTTAAAGACATTACAGGCACACGGCGGGAGCCAGGCGCGCCTAGGTGACCCGCGTGGCCTGACAGCCGAGCCATTATCCTCCGCACAAGGAGTTCCAAGTTCCAACTCGCCCTAGTGGATGTTTAAGCCGACTCGAAGACAACGGGGCCTTTACCCTATCCGCAACGAAATCCAGCTCGCCCTGGTGGGACGCCTCGATAGCCATGGCTCAAGCTCGACTAGCAGTTGGTTGTGCGGAGAGGGCGTAGCCCATGGGCGCACAAGAGAACGCTAATCGCGAGTGGTGCGAGGGTGGGGCGAGCAAGGCTGGAGGGTGTGTGTGCGTGGTGGAGCAAGCCAGGTGAGTGAGGTGCGGTTGAAAGGTGAGAGTGGTGCGAGCAGGGCATGTGCCAGGTGAGGTTTAGGAATCCACATGGAGGCACAGAATACACCTGTTCTACTCTAAGGAAGAAGATTGTTTTCACGCGGCCTGGGCCTGTTCCCCAGAAATTTCAAAACACGGGGACATTAGCCCGGAAAATGCAGAGTGACTCCCGGGCAAAACGTTTCGGCCTGAATTTGGGGGTTAATGCGGTTCAGCTCGGTACAGGTCATATTCCATTAGCGCAAGCTCCATGAAAGTTGGAAATTGCACTTACCGATTAGGCCCGTACGCTTGGGGCAAATATGACCTTATCGATTCCCGGAATGTAGGGCCCCTATCCGTTGTGTACTGTTCAGAGGCGGGCACCATGTCGGATGCTGCAACACATCTGGAAAGTGCATGTTGCACTAGTTTTGTCGTGCTTATCAATGTCGAATTTCAAGGTCGACAAATATTTCACCTAAAATATCTTAATCTTCACCGTAAAAATAACATAAATCAGCAAACCCTCGCTAAAAGTCTCATTCATGACAAGAGCACACAACAACAACCACGATAAAAATCGAAAACACAGACAAGGAGATGCGAGAAAACCAAAACCAACTCAGAACAGAACAACGCAAGTCACCAACTTGTGGACTCATATTCATGTCAAGCTGATGAAGCTTCGTGTGTCAGGCTGCTACTCCACATCCCGAGCTGCTGGAGATTAAGTCGCGCGCCGCTCCACCGGCAGGCCACAGTAGGTCACCCACTTGCCGGAGTCAGGGAAACCGATCATGATGTCAGTCGCATGCAGGACCGACGCGCGGTATGCGCTATCTGTTAACGTAGAAACGAATGATTACTAGAGGTGGAAACCTAGAACAAATACTAGTTGGTTGTACTCACTAGAAGCATACCTCAGTCTAGCCTATAACTTCTACATAGATAATATGTATAAGTTGACACACCCCCTAGGCTAGACAAGGGGTGAAACTAAACAAGAAGCAAACAGCTCAGGGCGGCACTACTAGTCCAACCACTGAGGCAGGGGTCTGGAGACCAGTCAGCAAGAATACAACCAAAACTGAAGCAAGCCAGGGTGGCACTACTAGTCCAGCCACTGGAGGTAAGGCCACAAGGCCAGTCTGACAAGCATATATAATAGAGAGTACACAATCAGGATCCTAACAGGGGAGCAGCTACAGGAACAAGACCAAGCTGTACACAGTGCCGCCAGGGCTCAAATTAGCCGGGTAAAATGCCCTGATTGCCCTGATTTTTCAGGGCATTTTTTCATTTGGTCTTAAAAATCAGACTTACGAAATTTATTACCCTGATCCAAAAAGTGTTACGAAAATATTACCCTGCCGAAACTAGGGTTGCGGGGCCCCGAACCCTGACCCTTCAGGGCGTCCTGAAAACTACCCTGGTATCGAAACTCCGAGATTCCGACTAAGTCCTTGGCGGCCAGAAACATTTCCCCCAAAACACCCTGCAACCAAAAATTTCGACGAAGTCCCTGGCAGCCAGAGTCATTCCTCCCACCCCACGCACCATGCAAGCCAGCAATTTCGGCTAAGTCGTAGCCAGAGTCATAGCTCCCTCACCCCCTCGCAACCCAGAAATGGCTAAGTCCCCCACAAGAGACATGCCTCCCAACCACACCCCCGCTACTTTTTTTTTTTTTTCGCTAAGTCCTCCACACCACAGCAAGACACGTCACGTCGTATACGCCCTTCTGACACCCAACCAATCACGAGCAGATGGTTTTTTTCCCGCCCCTCTGCCGCCCATGTAAATCTGATTCCCCTCTCGCGCCCCAGAATCGTTTTCCGTCCCATCCCATCCCCCAATCTCCCCCAGCACGCGCAAATCCGCTACACCCTTCTTTCCACACCTCAGTGCAGCCCACTTCATTCATGTAAAATGTTCCTTAAATGGCCAAGGCTAGAAAGGGTGCAAAGAGTTCTACACTTGAAGCAAAGACTTCGAATTTTTTTACCCTGCCAAATCAGACTTAGAATTTTTTTAGCTCTGACCGTCAGGGCATTTTTTTTTTCCTACTCTGATCTCAAAGAGTGGCCTAAAACCAATTTTGGGCCCTGAGTGCCGCTGATGATCTTTAGGCGCAAGCGCCTTAGTAAAGATATCAGCTGTGTTGGCACCTGAGGCCAAGTGAACTACGCGGGCCTGGCGGCGCTGCTGTAGCTCGCGCAGGAGGAAGTGCCGCAGCTGGATATGCTTCGCTCTGCCCTCAAGCCGAGGCTCCTGACACAGGAGTATCATGGCCCTGTTGTCAGCGTACAGGACCGGGGCAGAGCTAGGCCGCTCACCTAAGTCTGTGAGCAAGAAGGTCAGCCAGCGGAGCTCCTGTGCCGCCATGGCACCAGCGTAGATCTCAGCCTCACAGCTAGACTGAGCCACAGACGACGAGCGAGTGGATCTCCAAGAGATAGCACCCGAACCAAGGCTGAAACAGTAGCCCTGCGACGACCTGAGCGTCTCAGCGTCGTCTGCCCAAGAAGCGTCTGTGTGCCCAGTAAGGACCACTGGCCTGCGTCCTCCTAGCACTAACCCCATGCCTGATGTACTAGCAAGATAACGCAAAACCCTCTTAGCGGCAGACCAGTGCTGAGGTCGGTGTCTGCCTGTAGCCACAAAGCGAGCCAGGATGCTGAGAGGGTATGCGAGATCTGGGCGAGTGCAAGTCATCAGGTACATGAGGCAACCCACCAGCTCTGCGTAGGGGCCACTGGGCTCTACTGGCTCCTCAGGAACGGGAGCAGAGAGCCCATGGTCTACGGGTAGAGGTGTGGGCTGTGCGGAGGAGAACTGAAGACCGAACCTCTGAAGGACCTGACGCACCAAGTGTGACTGGGTCAGAGTGATGGTGCGTGCTGCTCTGTCCCTAGAGATCTGCAGGCCAAGATAGCGACGCAGCTCTCCAAGGTCAGTGCAGGTGTGTCTCTTCAGCAGCTCAGCCTTCACAGAGGCCAGTGCGTCCCTGTCAGGAGTAGCGAAGACCAGGTCGTCTACGTAGACAAGGATGTAGAACGGAGTCTGGCCGGAACGCACAAACAGTGAAGGGTCAGCAGAGGACGGAAAGAACTGCAGGTCTGCTAACGTGGCACGTAGCGTGTCGTGCCACTCGCGGGGAGCCTGACGCAGGCCGTAGACCGGGCGCCTGAGAAGCCACTGGGTCCCAGGAGGGAAGGTACCAGTGAAGCCCTGTGGTCGGCGCAGGTAGACCTGCTCGTGTAGGCTGCCCTGAAGAAAGGCAGTAGAGAAGTCGAGGGAGTGAAGCTCGTAGTCACGCTGTGCTGCTACGTGTAGCAGCGCCCGAAGAGTGGTCATCTTCGGGGTCGGGGCGAAGGTCTGGAAGAAGTCAACCCCCTCGCGCTGACTGAAACCTCTGGCCACGTAGCGCGCCTTGAAGACAGGCGGCTCTCCAGGAGGGCGCTTCACCTTGAAGAGCCACCGACCATCGACTACGTTCACCCCAGGCGGGGGAACTGCGTCGACGTAAGTGCCGGTGGATCTCCAAGATGCCATCTCCTGCTCCATGGCAGCTATCCACTGAGAGGCCCAAGGTCCCGAGGTGGCCTCAGCGTAGGTGCGAGGGGTCGGGATGTCGAAGGCGTCTGGGTCACCCTCAGGGACTAACAGCATGGAGCAGAGATGGGGAGCAGCCTCGGAAAGGAAAGCCAGCTCGTACTGCCTGTCCTCTAGGACGTCACTGCCAAGGGCAGGAGCACCCCCGACGGACAGAGGACGGGCAGGGTCAGAGACCAGAGCGGTAGCGTAGTCAAGGCGGCGGGTAGAGGCGAAGTCAGCGACAGCAGCGACAAGCGCGTCAAGGCGCGAGACAGGAACAGCAGGGTCGGTAACAAGAGAGGCAAGGACCCGAGGGACAAGGGGACGAGCAGCACGGAGGTAGTCAGAGAACGGAGGAGGTGCAACAGCAAGGGACGAGGGAGGAGGGGACGGGAGGAGGGGAGGACGAGACGAGTGGGAACGGAGCAACATAGGGTGGGTGGGCAGGACAGGAGAGACGGGACGAGCACGGGAGGGACGGCGAGCCCAAACGTGAGACGGAGGGGTAGGGTCAGGGGACAGCGGAGGAGACACAGGAGGGGAACGAGGAGGAAGACGGGCCGGAGACGAGTCTGGCGGCGGGAACACAGGACCGTAGACAGGAAGGTCAGGAGGCGGTGGGGGAGACACCGGCGCGCGGTCCGGGGAGGGAAGGCCGAGCAGGCGGAGAGCGGAAACCGGCGGCGACGGCTGCTGCGGCGGCGACGACGGCTGGGCCGGAACTCTCGGACCAGCAGAGGCAGAACGACCGTCGGCAGAACACTCAACAGCAGCACCCCCAGAACCAACACCCCCAGAGCGAGAACCCCCTCCAACACCAGCGGCACCCCCAGAAGCCGCAGGACGAACACCCTCCTCCACACCAGCACCCCCAGGGGCCGAGAGCAGCGGCGGCAGTGGCGGCAACGGCTGCGGCGGCGGCGACAGCGGCGACGGCTGCGGCAGCGACAGCGGCGGCGGCGGCGACGACAGCGGCGACGGCTGCGGCGGCGACGGCGACGGCGGCGGCAGCGGGGTCGGCGACTGCGACAGTGGGGGCGGAGGCACCGGGGAAGGGGGACGCTGCAAGGACGGACCGGGGGTACCACCAGAGTCAGCAGACTCCTCAACGGGGACAACCGACGGGAGGGGAGTGACGTGGGAGACACCAGACGGGGCAGGACGAGGCGGGAGAGGGGCAGGGGCTACCGGGGGAGAGGGAGCAAGGAAAAGGGGGGGGGCAACTGGGAGACCTCGGTGAGGGAAGCGGCGGTAGAAGGAGACGGACTCGTCAAAGGTGACGTCACGAGAGTGGAGGAAGCGGTGAGACGGCGGGTGGTAGAAAAGCCAG